AGCATACACACGCTCACAGCGCTCCCCTCTCATATAATATATATGTTCACCATTATTCACCCCATTTTTGAATTCATTCGATGCATCATTGAAGCACATCCAGGATCGCAAGGTTGGGGGTTGGGAAGATCGTGTTTCTGTCCACAGTGGCCTTCAGGGATTCCAGTTTCTTCAACCCAGGTGAGACCTGCTTTTACTAAGGAATTTAGCCTACCAATATGTTACTAGTGGCTTCTTGTTACTAGTAGTAATGGCCTCCAACCTAGCAATGGCCACCTAAAGGCGTCCTAATAGGTGAGACAAGGATTGTACTTTTGAGGAGCTGCGACAGCGCCTGGCCGAGGAATGCGAAGAGCGCATTTCAGGACAGAGAAGGCTCTCGGAGTCGCTTGACCGAAGCCTCCCGGCTCCGCTGAGGTTTGGAAGTCAACCCCCGATCCCATCCTCTGATCTCTGAGTCCAATGGTAATCGTTTCATGAAACATCATCTTCTCCCACTGATCCCATTGTCTTCTGTAATATTCTGTAAATTGGCCAGTGCAAGGTAAGTCATGCCAAAATGGAAAAAAGAGCTATATACTGCTTCAAGTTCACACTCTGCTCGACTTTGGCTTACGCAGCAAAATGCAAAAAACACAAGCAGCTTCAGTTCTTAAAGATGGAGAGCACACTTTCTGCAGTACACAGTACACCATATATCCCGATCTACTGTCTTTTCTAGTGCGGTCTACTAAGCTGACACCAAGCAAAGTCAATCCCCCCTGACTCTTACGAGTCATGGTGACGCTATGATTCCATGATCGGGCGCGTCCGGAGTTAGTTGTGACTACATGGCCAAGGCTGGGTGTGCTGCCACCGGCAAACCTTTTAGCTTGTTTCCTGCATGTTCCCACTTCAATGTCCTTGTGACAGATGCATATGATTGACTTTGCAATCGTTGCACGACAATGTACACACACATATACAAAAATGTAATTGATCCACATATGATTCCTTGTTCCTTCTGCGAGGCTCTTGGCGAGAATGTGTTGCACGTCTGGAAGACACCCATCCTGGAGGCCAAGGAACCCATCTCTGTGAGCAGCTAGATGGCTGCTGTAGACCTCAGAGCTGAGCTGTAATGCCAGGCCTGTGCTCGGACCAGGACTCTACGAAGTAGCTTTGCTCGGGTTCCTCGGAAAGCATGTTCGGGTCATGTGCTTATGAGTCAGTTTGAGTCTACAGCAGGGGGATGTGATGTCATGCCACACATCCCCTTGTATCCTTGATTGGACCAAGTTGCAGGATGGCGCATCTCTGCTTTCCACAAGAAGTCAAGCACGTATTACCGTATTGCGTTTTGTTGGCCATGATAGGAAGGGGGGCCCTGAAGATTCGATGAAGGTTCATGAAAATTCATTTGCCGTTATGGATGTATCACATCTCTTGACCAAACCACCTCGCTCAGCACTGAAGGATATTCGTGAATGGTCGGCTTTCAGCCAAGGAATCTCGAAGAATAAATTATCGACATGTAAGGCGCAGAAGCATTCATGGATGCGACCTTGTGCTTGCAACCTCAGGGTCTGCGTATTTGATGATCGCAGATCCTGGTGAGCGGGGTTTCGGCGACTCAAACTGCTTGGCCTGATGGCCTAGTCACCGAAACCGTTTTCGAGTTTTTGTCACCGAAAACCAGGCTCCATTCTGCTTAGCTCTAGTAGCGATGCCCTTGTTACTACAGTAGCGTCTTGGATGGTCGTCCTGGAGCGAGATTTGTCGCCAGATCCTTCATCGCATCCCTCTCGGTGCCTTTGTGCCTGGCTCGACGAAGATACCGCCTGGCAATGAAGGCTTCACAGGCGGAGTGCGTGTTGGGGCAAGTTGAGGTAAAAGCCTATATTCTACACATGTATAATATACACATAATGAAATTTTTGTACTTACTTATGTATAGCATTGTATAGCCATCCTCAAAGAAGATCATCGCACTTTCAGTTGAGAGGCCATAGTGCCTCCTGCAAAGGTAAGAACATTCCTGTTGAAACTCCTTAGCGGTGAGTCTGGTAGACTCAGTGTCGAGTCTTGACCTGATCTAGCATCGAAGACGCTATCCCATCCCACCGAAGACGGGTCCAGACTTAGCACCGAAGAAGTCTTGGGCAGCACAGTGAGCACAGTGACAGCATCCGCAGCAGGTCACCACCTTGTCTTTGAGTGAGGTGGGAATGTCCATGCAACCCTGCATGTCACATGAGAGCCTTGCAATGATGAGCAAATTGTGATTGAGAAGTGACATGGCTCTACACGAACAATCATCCTATTGGACCATGAGTTGAGTTCATTGCTTTCGATCATTTTGATCTTCATTTTGTATCCAAGAGTTGAACACAGGGGCACATGTCATTCACAGGTGGATGAGAAGTGGTCACAGGTCGAAAGCATGGCAGAGGAGAGCAGTGTGAACAAGCATGGCATATCACTTGGATTTTCAGCCTTCTTCGTTGGATTGGCATTCCAAGGAATTGAGTTCGTTTTGGGGTCGAATTTCACTCCACTCAGCCCAGATATGGTGGAAGGAGGTGGCCGGCAGTTGTGCCCTCCTTTGTTGCGTGCAACGGCAGCTTGGTTTCTTGCCAGCACAGCGGGGCATCTCCGACGAGACATGTACTGGATGACAGACAGGGAGACTGTTGAAGTTGTGCTGCACTGTCCAGATGAAGATGCCACAAGGTACAGGTTCAGGGCCTCACTGTGGATACAAGAGCTGTCCACAAAGCAAGGTTTTTGATCCAACAGACTTGAAAGGCTACATGGCCGCCTTCCACGAGGGCAGTGTTGGCACTGCGCGAGTTGTAAGTCAGGCCTGACTTGCGAACTGCTTGACTGCAGAAGAATCCACGTCAGGTTTGACAAGTCAGACTCAATTGCCATCAAGCGTTAGGCTTAAGAGTCTGGCCGCAGCTTTGTCTCCGAGATCCAGCTTTGTCTCCGTTTTGTCATGTCAAAACAGCCGAACCCCGGAGACAAAGCTTCGTTTCAGCTTCGCACGGGAGGCACCAGCAGTTCCACTGGCGCTGAGTTGGGAAGGACCAGGTGGAGATGAGATCTATGGCATGAGCTTTGCAGCCTTCTCAGTGACTATAGAGTTGTTCACGGTGTTGGAAAGTTGGAGAGCCTGTTGTTTCCTCAAGGTTTGAGGTGAATTGGAGTATATTGGAGAGAATTGGTTTGAATTGCAAGAAGTGCCTGGTTGGAAGTCGTTCCATCTAGTGCCTGGAAAGTTGCTGCTGATTGGTAGCGTTTGCCACTGCCGAGGCCGGCACTGCCGACTGCACACTTCTGGAGCATTTGCTCCTAGCTCAAACTGGACTCGTAAGGGAAGGAGTAATTTGTATATTATCTATACTTTTTTTTCAGCTTTACGACTGTTCAATGAAGCATCACTTTAATGGTACACTCTCATACAGATTTACTGTATGTCCAACTCAAATCTAAGGCTCGATTGTGCTACTTGGCTGAAACTGGTCACAAGGGAGGAGTTGGTCAGTGGTCAGTTCTATATTCTTTGGACATCAACTTGTTAAACGTCGTATATGCAACAAGACAGAGCGAGAACAATGCAACTTCCAATTCTCACCCAAGCATCAATAAACCAAGTGCTGAAAAGTGGCTGAGAAGCGTGGGTCTCAGCACCGCGTCAGCACCCGAGGTGACGCGAGCCTCCACCGATCATCGCTTCGTAGCTCCAGCTCCTGAGGATGGGGAGCATGTCTCACTTTAGCTTCCCGTCTTCATGAATTCTTCGGGTTTTGGCAAGGTGCAGGAGAACAAGGCAGAGGAATGTCAAGCTAAGAACCATTGTGTCAGAATTTGTGGTAGCAAGACTGGTGTTGCTGAGTGTGTGTTGTTGTGTGGAGCCTGGAGGACGTCAAAGACATCAAGGCAAAGGCAGGGAAGACCACCGGACTCAGGTGAGCACTGATTATCACCATTCGTCTTATGAGTTGATTCCAGTTTCCAACACAGACAAGGACACACACACACACATAGGCCACCACAGGCCACCACAGGCCACAGGAATACAAGGAAGAGCCTGTAGAACACTCCGAAGCCGCTTCCTGCCCTTGGGTCCCCAAGCAGTGCCTCCAAGTGACCAGATGATACGATGTGACGCAGAAAGACCCGTCCTCAGAGGTCTCGCTCTTGCGATCCTTCACGGATATCTCTGACAACCCGCTCGATTGGACGCCGGGAGAACATGGTGGCTTTGGCTTTGATCAGCATTCACAGGGGCTCCGGTGGTGCCTACACCTGCACAAAACAGTCTTATCATCAGCTGCTGATGATACATGATTCTTGCTGCTTCTTCGCTCTAAAGCCTTTGCCAGTATATAACACGGTCTTGAGGCATGCGGCATGGCTCAAAAGAACAGCTGTTGTTCACCTACAAAAGTGGAACAAAGTCACAAACTATGCGATCGATGCACACTTTAGATAAAGCATTCACATGCCGCATGCATCTGGAGAAGAGGCAATCGGTCCGACCGATCCTGCGTGTACATTCTCAGGTATATGGTACTCTGATGGGCAGAAAGCACAACTTGTTTACCTGCCCCAGGCAGGGGTCAGCAAGGCATTAAGGGTAATGGTCTGGCAATCACTTGTATAAGCAGCAATCACCAGATTCCAGTCATTTCTTCAGTTCCATAGCAACATCATGATACATCAAACAGATACATCAACATCAAACAACGTTTGCAATACTGTTTCTCCCTGATCCTGCACTATTCCTTGCACATTGTCGCCTGGTTCTTGGTGTTGCCAGTCAACTTTGAAGGGTGTTGAAGATTCTTCCACATTCCGAGAGGCCGTGGAACAGATCTGCCAGGATGAAGGTGATGCTGTGGTTCCTTGGCAGTGTCTGGTCTCCTCCGACGTTCGCTTCCCGGTCTCCGACAAGCTGTCGGGTCAGGCAGCGAAGATGCTTGCCATTATACAGCGGCGGGCTTCCCTGGAAGATGATGAGGCCTGAAGACAAAGGTTCGGTCGGCTCAAGCACTCCCTCAAACTGAACTTAAAGCAACTTGTCCAAGCTTATAAAGGCTTGTCATGCCACGTTGGAGCCTGGAGCCTTAAGCCCTCGACAAACCCTGCTACAGGAGGAAGAGGAGGTGGAAGGTCTGAACTTGCCGGATGGCCACGTGCTCTACAGATTTGAGACCACCTCAGGTGAGCTTGTCTGCAGGGAGAACGTGGAAATACTGTACGTGGAAGTACGTTATTAGACAAGTCTGTTGTTCAAGCCACAGACCTTTTGTTATCGCTTGTTTTCGCAACACCGCAACACAAGCTTTTGGCATCTTTTTGCCTGTTTATTCAACTCAGTATGGCTCAGTATGGCAGTGTTGATCATCTTGGCTCGATGCGTAGTGCTGTGTGATCCGCGTATTTCAGTACACAGGAAGGATGTATTGCACCAAACCTTTCACATGGTGTCTTGAGAATGTGCAAGTTTTGCAAGCTTGTTACTTCTACGTTCCGAGGCATGTACGACATTAACAGGTTGCCCTTGGTGCAGACGCGACGTATTTTGGATGATCATATTCGGCAATTGCTGCTGGTGAAGGCCAGGAGCTGCAATCAATTCAACCAGTAACGAGGATGGTAGAAATAGAATGAAATAGATGCCTAGGGAACCGCTTTAGACTGCCTACTTGACGCTGCTACACGCAAGCATGTCAAGCAGCTTCTGAAAAAAGCCAGGGCATTCACAGAGCTTGAAGGAAGACATGTAGAAGCTGGATACGCAAGCTTGAGTGAGACGACCACCTGCTTGAGTGACATGTCACGTGTCATGTGTTACGACGGGGCCAGGCAGCTGGCATCAAACAAGGGGAAGACAAAGGACGATCCGATTCAGCAGCACCGCGCTTTGCTATGCTGAATGGCACCAAGGAAAAACCATTGGTCCGGCACTCGGTGTGGTGTCGAAGCTTCGAAGCATGATGAGCCATAGTCAGTGAAGCTGCACAGTCGTAAAGAGGGCCGTGAGTTGAGTTGGACAGTACAAGAACTATAGCAATTAACTGAATATATTATAGAGTATAGTTATAGTATGTTATAGTAGTTATTATCAGTATTTATCAGCTCAATATATATATATATATAGTACACGCTTGAAGAGCTGGGTCAACCTGAGGCGAGAGCTATGGTTGTTCCAACTGAAGGCAGGGGCTTGCGCTATTTCAGAGGGCACATGCACCTTTCTTATGATTTGTGCGCTCAAGCATAGTCTGAAGCCTTTGCCCCAGAGTCCCCAGAGATGGTACTTTTTATGTGCAAATGCAGGTTCGTACGGCAACTTTGAAGAGGTCTTTGACAAGGAACTGCGGCAAAATCCTCCACCAGGTTTGCAAAAGGCGCCGCCTTTCGTTTGGTTGATTTGGTTGCTTTTGTTCTTCCGGCTTACGAATCATGTTCAAAATTGCGCGTAGCTTGATCTGTCATGGATGACAAGCATGTGTGCATGCTGCCAGGTTCGAAGAATATTTGTTCTTTCCCCGGTGTGGGATTGCTCCGTCGCTGCAAGAAACAAAATTCAAACAGCTGTGGTTGGTTGGTGCTCCAGTTAAGGTGAAATTTTGGAACACAAAGAACGCATGACCTAGGACTTAGCCTACTCATTTTTTTCAATGTCACTTGGAGCCTTAACCTCCTAGGTGAATTGAGCCTAGTATACGCATGGGCTGGGGGGCGGTTTGCTGACAATTTCAGTCGTTTGAGGTTTCATCGACGGATGCGGCATACCAGAGCCGCGCTGCGCGTGGCACCTTGATTTAGGTAGAGACATATGTCACAATACGTCGCATAAGGACAAGACATTTGGAACAGTTCCTTTTTCTTAGGCCTATTGTCACTTGCTTCCAGTAGACAATGCAGCAGTGCCATGAATATTCCGCGTTTGTTTTTTACCCTACACTGCTAGACAGTACATAATAAATACATCCACCTTGCCGTGGCACTGAATCCCGTAGTAGTGCCCGATCGCTCCTAGCAGTATGGCCAGGAGCCGCTAGTAGCTTGTTGTTCCTAGTAGTAAGTAGTAAGGCCAGGAGCCCCTAGTAGCTTCTTGTTCCTAGTGCTAA